ATGTTTCTCTCTCATCGATGTTTCTAACTCTCTATCTCTCTCTCCCTTCCTCTCTGTAAAAAATCAATAAAATATATTAAAAAAAAAATATATATATATTGATTTCAGAGAGGAAGGGAGGAGAGAGAGATAGAAATATCAATGATGAGAGAGACTAACTGACCAGTTGCCTCCTGCACAACCCCCACTGGGGATCGAGCCAGAAACCGGAGCATTTGCCCTGATGGGGAAATCGAACCGTGACCTCCTGGTTCATAGGTTGACACTCAATCACTGAGGCATGCCAGCCGGGCTCATGTGCTTATTTTCCATCTGTAATTCTCTTTGAAGAAATGTCTTTTCGTGTGTGTGTGTGTGTGTGTGTGTGTGTGTGTTTGCCAATTTCCAATTGGATTATTTGTGTTTTGTTTTTTCACTGTTGAGTTTTGAGAATTCCTTATATATTCTTGATGTCAGTTTTTTAAAAAAATATATTTTATTATTGATTTTTTAGAAAGGAATAGAGAGTTAGAAACATTGATGAGAGAGACACATCGATTGGCTGCCTCCTGCACACCCCCTACTGGGGATGTGCCCACAACCAAGGTACATGCCCTTGACCGGAATCGAACCTGGGACCCTTCAGTCCGCAGGCCGACGCTCTATCCACTGAGCCAAACCGGTTAGGGCTTGATGTCAGTTTTTTGTTGGCTATGCAGTTTGCGAATATTTTCTCCAAGTGTGCAGCTTGTCTTTCTATCTTCATAACGAATATCCATTTCAAAAAAGACTAATGTGATGAATACAATCTTGGCAATCTCAATTAAGGAACAGAAAAGTGACAGCCACATCAAATAGGAAGTTAATGACACTTTTCCTGTTTTCATAGCAATTTTGCTGGGTTTCTGAAGCTGAAAATGATTATTGGTAAAAGCCCAGACATTAAAACAGGAGTTGAACCCATGTAGGCCGAGGGGAAAACAAGCAACCACCACTCTTCCCAGCCTCTGTAAGAGAGGAGGGAGTTAAGGAGATTATTTCAAGGAAATTTCAGATGTAAACCGGGGCTGGAGCTGTCCCATTCATCAGCGAATCAGGCTATACTTGGCCATCTGCCAGGACAAGGAGGCCTAGTGGACTCCACGGATGTCAGGCTTGAGCCATACAGGAGTGAAGCTGAAAGAGACTGTGGGTGCACAGCTGCCATCTGGGGCAGGAACCATGGTGACCATCACAGAGGGAAGCCAGAGAGTTCATGGTCCTCAGGAGGGACTTCCATGGTGAGAGGGTCCCCTAGCAGTGATGGCGAAACTATGACACGCCATCAACTTTTTTGGTTGATTTTCTTTGTTAAATGGCATTTAAATATATAAAATAAATATCAAAAATATAAATCTTTGTTTTACTATGGTTGCAAATATCAAAAAATTTCTATGTGTGACACGGCACCAGAGTTAAGTTAGGGTTTTTCAAAATGCTGACACGCCGAGCTCAAAAGGTTCGCCATCACTGCCCTAGGGGGTCTCGAAGGCACCAAAGGATCCAATGAGAGGCTGGTGTTGGATGCCTGCTGTGAAGAACATGTTGACCACCACAATAGCACCAGGTCACGGGCCTCTTTTCCTTGTGTTCCTTTTTTAAACAAATTTGATATGCTGTATTTTAATTGTAGTTGAGTTCAAAATTAGTTCCTTGTTTCTCTTGAGACTTTGTCTATGATCCATGGATTATTTAGAAACAGGTTGCTTAATTCCTGGGTTCTGGTGATTTTTAAATTACATTGCTGTTATTGATTTCTAGTTAAATTCCATTATAATCTGAGTACATATGTTATAAAATTTTAATTTGTTCACGTTTGTTAAAGTTTGTTGTATGATCCATGATATGCTGTATCTTCAAGTTAAGTTCTATGTAGTACTTACAATTAATGTGTATTCTGCTGTTTGAAGGTGGCATTTATGGTCTATAAATGTCAGAGAAATTACATATAAACACAATGCAAGTGTGATCTGAATGCCAATTAACTTTTTGGGAACAGGATAAAATAACTTTACTATTCAATAGAACAATAAAAGATACCCAGTGTGGGAAACTGATATAGGGTTGAGCCTCAGACTGACCTGCTGGCAAAGTCACAAACAAGTCCCAGCTGAGAGGGCTCAGTCCTCTAAGCATAATTAGGCTTGACCTTATAACACTCCCCAGATCTTACCTGGGAAGCTAATGGGCTGAGGGAAGTGCAGGGAGTGTAAACATGATCAAAACAGGTGAAACTCACAAGAACTGTAACTATGGTAACCACTGCATTGTTTACCTCAGACTATAAAAGGACGGTGCGGACTGAGCATGGGTGGAAGTCCTTCCTCTTGAGTTGGACTTACCCGCCTAGTCCCCCAATATTTCCAAATTATCTCTTGTCTTTTCTATTTCATTTGTGTGCGGCTCCTCTTCCAGATATTGAACCCTGAACCACGCGGGACGTGGAGGGAAACATTTACGACATCTGGCGCCTGAGGGGAACTCTGGAAGTGAAGGTTTTGCTAGAGCGAAAAAACGAAGTTTCACTGGCAAAGTGAGGAACAAAGAATTCACCGTAAAGGTAGGAAAATTCACCGTAAAGGTGAGGGGTTATTTCACCGCACACAAACGGCCACAATCAGCTACAGTAGTCTAGAGCTGTAGGCCGTGTGGGAACGTTTTCTCAACCAGGCTAACGGGGCAGGATTCGGCTTTAAAAAAAAAAGATTCGGCTTTAAAAAGTAAGAAGAAGGTACATTTGATCTTGAAAGTTTGCCAAAACGTAAGTCAGAACTTGAAAAAGTTCAGCAAGCAGGGAAAAACTTATCTTAAAAAACAAAAAACAAACAAACAAACAAAACACACACAAAAAAACAAAACTGTTTTTCCATGGGGAACACAATATTGCGTTTGCTAGAGCCTTTTAGAGAGGCTGAGAAGGAGCCTCCTCACCTGGTTCCCTCCGCTCCTCCTAGAGAGGGGCAGGAAGAAAAATTGGAGAAATGGCCTTCATGGCGCCCTCCACCTCCACCTCCATGTCCTAATCCTGAAATGATTAACTCGCTGTTAATAGAATCACTTGTGCGAAAAGCCATCAGAGAAGGATTGAAGGACATGCCGGTGGAAGAAAGGTTTGCATTTCCTATCATACAGGTAGCTGACCCACAGCTCCTGAATCAGATAACAAGACACCATGAAAAAATTGACTTTAAAATGATAAAGGCCTTACGTGAAAGTGTAGTTCAAAATGGTCTAACCGCTCCTTTTACAGGAGAAATTATGAATAATATTTCTGAAGCATACTTAATTCCTTATGATTGGTACTCTCTAGCTCGTGCAACTCTGGATGGAGGAGATTATTTACTATGGAAGGGAGAATTTTTGGAGAAATGCCAGGAGCAAGCCCATACAAACCGTGGACTAAATGCTCAAATAACTTATGAAATGCTAGCAGGACTGGGACAATATAATGACGTGCAAATTTAGTTAAATTATGTGCAGCTGGCATATGAGCAAATTAGAGTTTGTGGAAGGAAAGCTTGGTGGGCTTTACCAGCAAAAGGGGACTCTGAGGGAGCTTTTAGTAAATGCATGCAGGGACCTTTAGAATCATTTTCTGATTTTGTGGCTCGTCTCACTCGAGCAGTGAGACGACAGATTCAACATGAGATAGCAGGAGACATTTTAATTCAACAATTAGTTTATGAAAAAGCCAATGATGATTGTAAGAAATGCCTGATGCCTCTGAGAAAAGGTAGTACCATTACAGAAATGATTCGAGCATGTCAGAATGTGGGGTCAGGCACTTTTC